GGCCAGTATTCCTACGGCTAGTTGCAGATAGGCGTTATTGTCAACACCTTCCCCCGCCCCGCATTGCAGTTGCCAAACAGGACGAAAGTGCAGATCAGTGACTTTGGGGCGAAGTATTTTCTCAAGCGCACGCGAATCTATCAAGTGACACGGTTGACTCGTGGATATTTCCTTACGGCACCGAGTACGTTGTGACAGTTGACGTGGGGGGTTGACCAAGGCGAGTGCAAGGGACGACGCTCGAGGGAGGAGAGGGGCTGTGTAAGAGGTGATTTGCTTGTCCAACCCTCGGTTTTGGTAAATGGGCCACTTGGGTGTTCCGCCACTATACCACCGCTGGAGGGTCTGACCTCCGAGTTATGCATGTAGCCCCAATTCCTTCTTTACGCCGACAGTACATATTCTGCCCGTCTTCGTGGGAAGTCGCGGGACGCCAAAAATACCAGCGTAGTGAAGATATCAAGTATTAACACAGAGCAGGTTTGAAAGACTCTAGTCATGGACAAAGTGCCATGGTGTGAATAGGGATACCGAAACCCCATAGCGAAGTGTGCACTCGACCAGAAGTTCTGCTGCATCTTTCAGTCCTTTTGCTGTGCTTCAGTTACTATGCGCGAAGTTCTGCTGCACCAACTTTTTCGGTTCATTTCCTTTTCACCACTCGCCCATTCTGTCAGCAGTAGCATTTCAGTTGTTCAGTCCCCTCAGGAAGCCTGTACAAGTTAGCTGTCACTGTGGTAAAGGGCATTGTTCAGATCCACGATCAACACAACAAAACGTGAATAAACGCCCACAATATGCGCCAGCTACCGAACCCGAGAGGTTCATTCACTGCCTTCCTGCCTAGACCAAAAGTCTCACTAATGCATTACTTTAGGCAAAAGCAGTGGACGTGTTAACAGGCAATCATACAAATTAAGGAGTGACATTCTTCTGTTTCGGTGCGCCAAAGTCATCATGTGGTCACACTTATTTGTGACGTTGTTCTTCTAGTGCGGTTTTCCGTCGTAGTGTTGGGTAGGCAAATGTTGGTTTTTTACAACACCCGACTGGCCAAAATATCCGGCGAAGCTGTAGCCCATCTGAAGTCCTCGCCACATAAGCCCAGGGATGGAGCAGATAAACAGACACGGGTGACTAACGGACAAGAGGGTGTTGTTTGGTTTACGTGAGTTTGACCTTACAGCCGCGGTTGAGTCATTAGTCAGCTGTGACATTCCTAGGGGGTTGCAGGGCCCGAAGGCACGTCTAAAGCTCATGCGCGGTCGTTTTGTTCCAGCCCTAACGACCTGTTCATGTGAACACGTCCAAACGGCCAACGTAGTGGC